GAAACCATGGCCTAAAGGAGAACAGGGCTGGACACTGCTTCTTGAGAACAGAGATCCTGTCTCCTAGAATGACAAATGAGGGTGACCGTCATCCTGCTTGACCAGCACTTGAGAATGGCATTGAAAGGGGGCTGTCAGCAAAAGTCAAGTTGCCTCTCTTAGAACCACAAATGGAAGCTGGTTCCAAGGTCGGCAAGGGTCACAGAACAGCAGTATAGTCAGTCTCAGCCCTGAGAAGCCCGTAAAGGCTCAAGAAGCTCCTGTCACTCAGGCCCAGCAGCCCTTCCCTTGGTGACTGAACAGGCCGCATAGCCTCTCCATCAAACTCCACATGGAACCATTTGTCTCTCAGCACACGATTGTAGAAAGAGCACAGATATCCCCCCTTGAGCTGGGTGTGTGTCTGCTTGCTGCAACTCCCAGGGGTCTCTCTGGTGAGGCCATCTCACCAACCTTTGCAAACATCTCTCTAATTTCCTGGTAAAGATGGCAGGACCAGGACCAACCCCTGGAAAGAAGGAACAGTGAGGCTCCCATCCAACCCAATGGCTTTTTGACTTGAGGACTTGAGAGCATGCCACTGTCACCTCCCCAAGCCTTGCTGCCTGCTCCACTCCATGGAAGAGTGAGGCATAGCCAGCTATTCCCCAAGTTCCAAGCCAGACCCAAATTACTCTTCCCTCCTCCGTTTCTAGGAGGTGGCTGCACTAGGGACAACCTTTGAGTTTCTCTTCATCCACATCTAGGCCACCCTAAGAAGTCACTTAGGGTGTGTCCTACCCTGAAGGAAGCAGGGACATTTTGTCCAGCTGTGCTTGCTGGAAAGCAGCTCACACTCTAAGTGCTTCTTAGTCTTGGCCATTCCTACCTTCTGCCTCTTCGAGAGAGCAGCTGGATCCAAAGTGTCAGCCCTAACCCAGGCCCAACGTGAGCCTCTCCTGACCCCAAACCCAGTGGCTCTTCAACCATCTGCCAGGACCAATCCAAGAGCCAGCCAGACCAGGGCACCTCAACTCAGCAGCTATCTGCACATGGTGGGTGGAGAGGGTCCCCAGCCACTTTAGACCTGCAGTCTCCTTTAGTACATCCCTCTAGCACCCTGTTTCAGGTTGGGAGCCAAAGTTGGCTTAAGGACACTCAGACAGCAGACCAGAGTCTACCACAACATGTATGTTAATTCTATGACAAGTGTGTGTTAACTTTTCATCTGAGGTGTTCAAGTGTTTTCTTGAGCATGATTTGTTTTCAAGAGAAAGCGAAGTCTGGCACACAAAACAGGAAAGGTATTCCTGATTCAACAGCTTCCCGTGCACATGAGCACCATTTACACTCTCAGCGTTTGTTAGCCCTTGCCTCACAGCCAGCTAAGTAGGAGGAAGGGAAGGAAGCACAGTCCCAGGACTTGAACCATCCAAGCTCCCACTGTCAGTAAACCACTCTATTCTTTGACCCGCTGTGATGACTTTACATTGAAGTTGTTGATTTTGTGGGAATCCCAGGACTTTAAAAACTGGGTCTCCTCCTATCTAGTCCTCCTCAACTCCATCTGCTGCCAGAGGAACCTCCCCAGAGTATTTGGGTCCAAAGAATTCATTTTGAAAAGCATTGATTTTTGTCTAATAATCCAACAACTGTGTATATTCTTAATGACATGGCCATATTCTGAGAAATGTGTCATGAGAAATTATGTCACTATGAAGGTATCATACAGTGACCTTAGGGCATATGATATCTCTAGTGCTCCAAGGCTCCAAAACCACACAGCATGTTTCTATACTGAATCCAGTATTCATCTGTAATACATGGTAAGTACTGTGCACCTAAACAAATCCAAGCATATCTAAGTATGAGAAGGGCCTGGCATAGTGGTGGATACCTGTAATTTCAGCCCCCTGGAGGCTAGGCCAAAAAGATAGAGTTTGAGGCTGGCTTGGGCTGTATGGTGAGATCCTATATCAAAAAAGGAAAGGGCGGGCAGTGGTGGCACACGCCTTTAATCCCAGCACTCGGGAGGCAGAGACAGGTGGATCTCTGTGAGTTGAAGATCAGCCTGGTCTACAAGAGCTAGTTCCAGGACAGGCTCCAAAGCCACAGAGAAACCCTGTCTTGAAGAACCAAAAAAAAAAGGAAAAGGAAGGGAAGGAAAAAGTGGGGGAAGTGTGCAGTAAAACTGCTAGGCAATAGGAACTTCACTGCTACATTGTAGTCTTTGAGGATCGTCATTACATATAAAGTCTGTCCCTGACCAAGGGCCACTACACAGCATGTGGCCACAGCCCTCAAGCACACAAGATGAGAAGGGAGAATGGTTAGATTAGGGAGAAAGGTTGCACTTTGGTATGTTTTCAGAGCTGAAATCTTAGAAATTATCACCAAGTCCACATTCCACCTCAGGTGGAAAAGGCAATGGGCAAAGGGGAAGACCAATTCTGGCTTCATACCCAGCCCAGATTCTCCCCATGCAGTCCCAGGCAGTCCATAGCCATTCTAACAGAAGCTGTGCAGCCGCCAGCACACACTGAATGGCCTGGGTGGTCATTCAGGACCTCACACCTTCTAATGTCCCGGGTTAGTGGATGCAGAGTCCAGAATAAGGCAGTCTCCAGAAATGAGACCCTGTGAGGCAGTCAGGTAGCAGGGGTGGGAGGCTGCAGAGAGCAAAGGGACTAGGCCCCAGACATCAGAGAAGAGACAGGAAAGAGGGGCCAGAAGGGCATGGAGAGAGGTAGCTTGGGCATCAGGGGCGGGCACAGGGACAGGCATTGGTGGAGAAGAGGGCCTTCTGGATCCCAAAGCCCGGTGAAATAACTGCCCATTCTCCATGGGTTACAGGCTATACTAGTGTAGGCGCAGGCCGGTCCATCCAGTCCCTCACACTTGGGCAGGATGAGTTTACCTTAATGACCATTTCTGTCCCTTTTGTACCCTCTTGTTACAGTTTTCCAGCCCCGTAGAGCCCCAGAAGCGTCATCAAGATCTGCCCCTTTACTATGCTCTGGGCAACCCAGGCCGCCTGCCGTCTCCAATCTGCTCCCAGCAACCATGGTGAGAGGTGGGCACTGGAGCACAAACTGCGTGATCTGGGAGAGCATGGCCCTGGATCTGACATGTCACCATTAGTGAGGCCGGGGCTTGCCCAAGGCCTGACAAGCAGGTCTCTGCCAGAGACAGGCCTGCAGGCTCCTGGGGACTTACCTTCACACCCTCCTTCTTCTTGTTCCCTCCACTCTTCCCTCCTGTGGAGGAGAGAAAGTACAGCGTTAGCAACACCAGGCAGGGCACCAAGGCCCACAGGGTGAGGAAGAGCAGCATTTGCGCGCAGCAGAGCAGCCGAGAGCAGTGGAGGGTAGTCTGTCTGAGAACAGAGCTGGCTTGGCCACCACGGAGAGGCTTCCTCTTTCTCCTCCTCCTCCTCCTTCTCCTTCCACTTGTCTTCCACCTTCCACCCCCTCTTCAACAGCCCAGCAGAGTGGGCCTGCGATTCTCGGGGATAGCCCTGTGACTTTGGGGCTTGGAGAGGTGTCCAAAGCGTCCCGGGACTATAGGGTTGCTGTTTGAGCCTGGGGATTCCCTCTGGATCCCTGTCATCAATGCTGTTGGTGGCCAACTCAGAGGCCTGCAGCCGGATTGAGGGCTGGAAGCTCCCTGCTTTGGCCCCCACCTGCCCTGGCCCTCTCTAATTTTAGCCCCATGTTGCTGCTGAGGTCATGTGTCAGCCCTGCCTACTCACTCTGGACAGCTGCAGACTGCATTTTGTTGGTGACAAGAAGCAGATGTCCCCCGCTGGGGCCCACCCCTACCAGAACACTCATTCCAGGCCTTTCTTCTCAGCAGCACAGGCCTAAATTCAACCTCTGGAATCCTACTCTAGGGCTTGCTGAATCCTGGTGGTAGACAAAAAAAAAAAAAAAAAAAAAAAAAAACCACCAGCCACTGGTCTCTGGGTAGCTGAGACCATGAATTTCCCTTTCCCTCTCTCATTTCCTTACTGGAGCCCTGGCAGTCAGTGGGCATGAACCAGAAGGTAGCATGAATGCCCAGCCTTGTCCCTTGTCCTGACTGTTATGTGGCCACCTCAGACCTTTCAAAAATGCTTTAAATGAGACACAGCCCTATGAAGCGCTTAGCACAGCATTCAGGATATATATAGTCGTCTCTTGATGACATTTATGATTCGTCCTTCTCTAGGAAGCCCCAAGAAGGTGAACTGGGGATGAGGGTGGGAGCGTTAAGGGTACAGGACACCAATGCCTCAAGGGCTCTGAGTGATGAGTTCATGAATGCCCCAGTTCTCATTCCCTCTATAATTTTACCTGTGACCTCTCAAAACTCCCTGGGGTAGAGGTCATTTCTGCATGCCAAGCCTGAAAGGACTGGTGTCTGTCTCTCCAGGCTGTGCAAGTGGGACTGCACAGCAGGGGAAAGTGTTCACCATGGAGACTCTCCACTCCAGGCTACTGTCGTACAGGTTTGGGCCCAATGTAGCTAGACCCTTTTCCTTTCAGAATCTGCCCAATTGGCCTTGATTTACTGTGTGACCTTTCTTGTAATCTTCTTGCCTCCGTCTCCTGAATCCTGGGTTACAGCCATGTGCCACCACACACATGTGTTGCTGATTTTTGTTTGTTTTGTTTTGTTTGTCTTTCCAGACAAGGTTTCTCTGTGTAGTCCTGGCTGTTCTGGGACTTGTTCTGTAGACCAGGCTACCCTTGATTCTTAGGTACTGGAGAAGAATATTCAAGGCTTCAGTGGGGCTGTGGTGGCACACGCCTTTAATCCCAGCAGTTGGGAGGCAGAGGCCAGCCTGTTCTGCACAGAGAAACTCTGTCTCAAAAACAAACAAACAAGAACTCAAGCCTTCTTGTGTGTCAGGCAAGCACTTTACAATGTAAACTACATCCCCAGTTACCAGGCTCTCTCTCTCTCTCTCTCTCTCTCTCTCTCTCTCTCTCTCTCT